GAAAGTACCCCTGGTAGTGCAGTGGTTAAGCACTCAGCTGCTAACCGAAAGGTGGGCAGCTGGAACCCATCAGCTGCTCTTCGTGAGACAGATGTAGCAGTCTGCTTCTGTAAAGATTTACAGCCTTGGAAACCCAATGGGGGCAGTTCTACCCTGTCCTATAGGGTCACTGTGAGTCAGAACAGACTCAACAGCAACACGTTTGGTTTGGTATATAAGATACATATAGAGAGAGAGAGAATCTGAGGAAGTGTATAAAGGCTGCCTTCACACACTTTAGGACTTTGATTCTCTTATATCTAACAATATCTGCACCTGGTTATGGAGCCCTGGTGGTGCAAATGGTTAAGCACTCAGATGCTAACTGGAACTTCAGTGGTTCAAACCCACCAGCCGCTCTGCGGGAGAAAGACGTGGCCGTTTGCTTCCGTAAAGATTACAGCCTAGAAAACCCTATGGGGCAGTTCTGCTCTGTCCTATAGGGTCACTATGAGTGGGAATGGACTTCATGGAATGGGTTTGGGTTTTGATTTGCACCTATTGTTAAGAAGCCCTGGTGGCACTGTGGTGAAGCGCTCAGCTGCTATCTGAAAGGTTGGCGATTGGAACCCCCCAGAGGCCCCATGTGAGAAAGACCTGGCCATCTGTTTCCGTAAAGATTACAGCCTAGAAAACCCTGTGGGGGCAGTTCTACTCTGTCATGTGGGGTCACTAGGAGTGGAAATTGACTTGAAGGCACCCAGCAATAGCAGGTGTTGTGTGGAATTTATGGCTCATTCTCGCTAGGGGAAGGTGTCATTCCTTTAGCCTTACAGAGTATCTCCTCACCCCACCACAAACAATGCCACGGCGCAGAGGCAGAAAAGGCTCTTTCAAGACTAGCTTAGAAGATTTTTTTTTTTTTTTAGGGGTATTCAAAGGAATATGCTGTGGTTTCCAAAGAATTTTTATGATCCTCACAGATGAAAGCGGCTTGTAAAGTGTTGTGACCCGGGGTCAGCCAGGGAGCCTGAAGGGTAGGTATGTGGGTGGGAGAGAGATGGCTGCGTCAACTCTGTCCACTATCAGAGTTTCCATCTGACAGGCCCTCGAGTGTTGCTTCCGGGGGCAACTGGAAGGCAAAGGCAGAAGTCTGCTTGTTGTTAGTTTCTGTGGAGTCGATTCCGACTCACGGTGTCCCCATGTGTGCAGAGAACTGTCCTGCACAGGGTTCTCCAGGCTGTGACCTTTTGGAAACAGATCACTAGGCCTTCCTTCTGAGGCTCCTCTGGGTGGGGTTTGAACCACCAACCTGTGAGTGAATAGTATGGGGCTGAAACATACGCGCCACCCAGACTCCAACATCTGCTTCTTCTTGTTGTTGTCAGTTGCCCCCAAGTCGACTCCAACTCAAGGCGACTCCATGTGTGCAGAGTAGAAAGCAGTCCAGAGGGTTTTCAGAGCAGTGGACTTTCAGAAGCAGATCACCAGGACTTTCTTCCAAGGCACCTCTGGTTGTGTCTGAACCGCCAAACTTGGGTTGGTAGTGTTGAAGAGGAAAATTAAAAACAGACGTCTTACTTTGATTTTAAGGTTTTTCTGATTCACAAAACCAAATATTAACCGTAAAAAGCCTGCCCAACTGCAAAAGCCTTCCGGAAGCTGCTCTATAGCAATGCTAATTTGGCTTATCCTACTAGAAAAGCGCAGTTGTCAAAGCTTTGCCTCCTAATTTAAATCTCAAAAGGCCTCCTGGCTGCAGGTGGGTGGCGGGTCAAATTATCAGTCACCAGGCCAGAAGCAGAGGCGTATCTAAGGTATGGCAGGTATGATGGTATGGCACACGCCCTGGGCGCCAGCCACTTTTAGGGGGGTGGGGGCACCACTGAGCAGTTTTTATTAACCGGATGTGGCCCAATGTCCTTCCTCAAGGACAGTAGACACAGAGGCGTGTGTGTGCGGGCGGGAGTGGGGGTGGTTCCAAAAAGGGGTACTTGCCGCAGGGCACAAGTCCAAGGGGCCGCCAGACCAAGACGCAAAATGACATTCTGAGGTGCCACAGATATGAAAGGCTCGTGATGGACAGAGCCGGACAAGGGGGGAAAGGTGTTTCTGCTGATTTGTTGCTGCTATCATCGTCTATGCATCTAGAAATTGTGTGATTCCCCCCTCCCCCTCGCAATTTAGAGATTGCCCCTGGGTGCTCATTACAGCCCTGAGGGCGCAATGTTGGTGCTTGCCACATCTGGTGAGAAGTAACCTGGTATCAGGGCTTCAGACAGCTTCAGTCTGGTTAGAACCCCTGCTGAGAATTTGCATTTCCACCCCAGATGTACTGAATCAGTATCTACAGTTTCACAAGATCCTCAGATGACTCTTACGTATAATCAGTTTTGAGACCCACGGCTCTACCAGTGGTTCGCAAAATTAGTCCCTAACCAGTACCATTAGCATCACCTGGGAACTTGTTAGAGCGGCAATTCTCGGCGGGGTTCGAAGAAGGGAACAACCAGTTGGAAGTCCTGCCTGATATCACTGGATCTCAGTGAAAGGGGGAGGCAGGGTTCAGTTAGTCATGTCAAGATGAGCCAGAGGTCCATCTATTCTTCTCCCTGTCTTCTCTTTAGAAGCCCTTTTGTACCTGGCTTCTTTCAGCCATTTGCTTTTCCAGAATCAAAATGGTCTCCCTACATGCACATGGAAACCCTAACCAAAAGGTCGGAAACCCTATGAGGCAGTTCTACTCTGTCCTATAGGGTCGCTATGAGTCGGAATCCACTCAATGGCAACCGCTTTGTGTTTTTTTTTTTTTGTCGTTGTTGTTTTTTAATGAACATAGAATAACTGCTCAGAATAAACTATGTTCAAATTTGGTGAGTTTTGATTATTTTTAATGGTAGTCCGGCACTTAGTAACAGAGTCTATGATAACTGTTTAATTGGGTGTAAAACTGTATCGTTGACGACCTTAGGTTTTTTTTTAAATGACCTTTTAAAAAAATTTAATTTATTTTTGGTGAAAATACACCAAACCGTGCTCCCACTGAACGATTTCTACACATTGCTCAGGGAGATGGGAGACAACCTTAGCTGTTGAGCTGTCAGCGTGGGCAAGGTGGAATCCACGTGGAGAGGGCACGCAGCACAGCCAGGACATGGGGAACCTCCCGCGTGTGAGGTTCCACACGGTGACCCTGTGTCTGTTGGCGGGGTGGGGCAGGCAGGGCCTGGTGGCTGAAGCCTGGCAACGTTGTTCCCTAGTCCTAACCAGGCGCAGAGCTTAAGATGAGCCGGAGGAGTGCAGAGTTCGCCTTCCAGCTGGAGATTTGGCAGAGAATGGCCAGAGGGCCTCAGGCCGGTGGGTAACAATGCCACACACCAAGGGCAGGCGGGGGCGGGCGGGTCGAGGGCTTGCAGCCACAAGCAGAACTGGGTTCTGACCTCCTGTCGCCCCTGAGGATGCCAAGGTCTTATACCTCCCCCCTTCCTGAGGCCCCCAACCCCAGCCTTGGGGGCCAGCACACTCCTTCCTCGTCACAGAATCACTAACACGCGTTAAAACCACGACCAAGATGGTTCTTCTCTTGCTACTCAAAATGTGGTCCGCGGACCTGCAGCGTCAGCCCGGGAGTTGCATCTCTGCAGCTCAGGCTTGAGGTCAACCTGCATCTTAACCAGATCCCAGGAGAAAGGCTTGTTGGATAAAACCCTGGATGCCCGGTTACATTTGCATTTCAGACAAACAAGGAGTCTCTTCTTTCTACAAAAACCTACTGCCCTGGAGTAGATTCTGACTCATAGCGACCCTATATGACAGGGTGGAACTGCCCCATCGGGCTTCCAAAGCTGTAATCTTTACGGAAGCTGACTGCCACACCTTTCTCCTGCAGAGCGGCTGGTGGGTTGGAACCGCCCACCTTTTCGGTTAGAGGCGGAGCGTTTTAACCGCTGCGCCACCAGGGCTCCTCTTCTTAGTCTAAGTACATCCCAAATATTCCATGGGATATACTTACACTTAAAAAAAAAATCACTGGTTGTGTGTCTGAAACTCCAATGTATCCGTGCACTCTGCATTTTTCCTTCCGTTCTTTCTGGTGCTTTGAAACCAGCAGTCAAGAAGTTCCGGTTACCGTCTACGGTTCTTCCATCGGTTAAGTCTCTCCTTATTTCCGTAAAGAAATGTTGATTTGGGAACACCTACAGATTCACAGGCGGCCGCAGCGGACGGCCCAGGAGGTCCCGTGCGCCCCCGACCGCCTTCCTACGTAACTGTCGTCCCCATCGGAACCAGGAAGCGGACCTCAGGGGCGTTTCCATTCGCTGAACAGGCTCCCCTGGGGTCCGCGGGGGCGCGCAGGCGGGCACGGTCGGTGTACCCCAACTCTGATCCGCCCTCAACCCCGTTTCCTGATCCTTCTAAACTTTACTTAGCTCTAACCACACCCTCCCCGTCCCCAGCTCCTTCTGACCTTCCTTCTGGGCCGGGGCTCGCATCCCCTGGGGAGTTCGGGACCCCCACCCCTCGCGCTCCACACGGGCCCAGTCCCCGCCCTGTCCCCGCTGTCGCCGACTCCGGGGCGCGGTGGGGTGGAGCGCAGAGGCGGGCGACGCCCCCAACTCGTGGTCCTCGCGCCCCGCCCGGGCTTCCGCCCGGTCCCCCATCAACGCGTACGCAGCGCGCTCGGGTCGCCGCAGCGCCGGGAATGAACAGCGAGCAGGGAGCCCGCGGCCGGGATCCCGCCTCGCC